TTTTTTTTTTTTTTTTGGTATCTTGTGCCTTGTACTTGTTCAGTTACAAATAAGGAACGATACAGTTTAAGAAAACAAAATATGTTCTAGCTTCCAGGGCTTTGAAAGTTGTGCTTAGTGGGTGGAGAAAGAAGTTTTGCTGTGCGAATTTGCAGCAAGGTAGCAGCACTCAACTAAAACCCTTGCATTGGGCCCGGTCTGCCAACACTAGATTTGATGCCAGACATTATGTGCTTGTTAAGTCCTGTATCACCTTCAGGGTGAAGTGCCCAAGCCACCATTCCCTCCCAAGTCTGCTAAGGTGCTTTATGGTGCTTCTCAAATTCATTTAAAATATCTCACTTGAGAATAAAAAATTCCAGGGCTGCTCATATAGCTCAGCAGATTAAAGTGCCTGCTTATGCAGACGCAGCAGAGATTCGATCCCTGGCCTGCTGTGCTGGCCTCACCCCTGGGGTACACTGAGATGGCAGTTGAGTGGTGGCGCGTGCCTGTAACCCCAGCTCTTCTGGAAGCTGAATACAGGTGGATCACTATGAGTCTAATCTATGTAGTGAGACTGTGTAGGCCCTATAGATCCTTACTAAAACAAATACATAAAACCACCAAAAAAAAAGAAAATAACAATTTCCAAATTTGATGAGCTAAGTCTTCTCTCATTAGAAGAAATATCCTGTAGGGAAGGAAGTACAATGCCAGGCTCCCAACGTGGCAAAAATTTATGCCCCGGTTACCTTTTTAGTGAGTGTTTCCCCTGGTTCTGAACCATGTTGCCTCTGCTGTCAGCATATGGAATGTTGAACTCAGTGCAACAAGGCCTCGACAAGACAGACTTACTTGAAGGCATAACCCCACAAATACTCCTGGTGCCACCCTTAAATGGAACAGAATCATTCTCTTCATTCTACAATTCTTGCTCTTGACCTAGGAAATTAAGAATGGATATATCAAAGCATATAAGTATAATCATATAAATCCAAACAGTACAGTTTCTAAAGACCTATGAAAGTGGATACAGCTCTTTAGAGCTTAAAATCCAAAGGGGCTACCATGGTGTCAGTTAGGTGTCAGTCCACACCCATTGTTTTGAACAATCTTGATGTTAAGCATTAGCGAGGCATTAAGTTGTTACCTGTTAACTGGGAGAGTTGTGCAAGAGGACCAAATTATCCCTGGATTAGCACACTGTAAGATAACGCCACCTTTAGGGCTGCAAGGACAGAGGAAGACATTGGAATCAATAGAGCTTATAAAGTTGGAAGAGGAGGTGTTCATGGGGCTGCTACTCAGATCTGAGGAGGGTGCTGCCCAGCTGGCACTGGGATCTTTGCCCTGGGCTGGGGGAGGGGGCATTGGGTGTCACAACCTTCATGGGCAAGGTGATGGGGCTGCTTCTACAGCCTAGGAAACAACGCGAACCAGATCCAGCAGTTACTATATTAAGAGACTCGTTATGAGGGTAAAGGACCTCTGCTAAGGTTGAGTGACACAGACGACACAAGCCTCAAGGAGGCAGCATGAGGCAAACGGGAATGTGCGGGTCCCTCCTTCCCTTGTGGGCAGAGCTCCCACGTGGCCAGCTGCTAGAGCAGAAAAGTTGGTGGTGGCCTGGGGGAGGCAGCACAGGGCCAGGTGTGTATGAAGGTACTTCAGAAGCCAGCTGAGACAGCTCTCTAACTCTCCCACATCACCGCTCCAGCCCAGCACCACCTCTCACAGCCTTGTACCCTGTGAACTGCTCCCCACACCAGGCAAGGCTTTCCACCTGGCATGGAGACATTGTCCTTCCTTCAGGGAAAGGTGTTCTTGCCCTGTCTCCAAACAGAGAAGCTGCAAAGTCCTGCTGGATGTTCTCAGTGTGGCTGAAGTGTGGTTCGTGTCTTCAGGCCACATCAGCCACTCCTAAAATACAGTCACACCCAGTCCTGGCTGAGAAGTCTCCTTAAAGACAAAATTAGTCATTTACTTCCAAAAAATTTACATTGAGAGGAGAGGTAGGGAGACACCAGAACACTGGATGAAGTGTCCAGCTTTGGGCACGTATAAACCCCCTCCGAGTAAGCAAGTGTACCCGAACTCCACAATTGTCATTAGCATCCCACAGAAAGCTTCTGCTTGTCACACAGGGAGCAGTGTGTCTCTGTGTGCGTCTCTGCTCCTCAGGAGGTTACAGGGCAGAGGCAGGCAAACAAGGAGGGGTAGCCTGTGTGAGAGCACTTCAGGGGCCGTGCGCTGCCAGGGGACAGTGGAAGCGTCAGGGAGAGGTCTCCTTCCCGCCTTCAGGGACAAACAGGTGACAGGGAGAGAGCATGTGGGACAGCAGGAAGCTCAGCGCATCCGAGAATGGTACACAGGCATCCTAGGACAGTTGCAATAATTAGTATATTGCATATTGTTGTCTTCGTAGTAGTTATTCATACTACAAGATGCTAACCTGTTTTGAAACTCTCATTGCTATTTTTTTCTCAATAAAATTAATAAAAATAAAATAAAAGTATGAAAAGACAAAAAAAAAAAAAAAGCATTCTAAAAGGACTAACGGACTCGGAATTGGTACAGAGTGAAACGCAAGCAGGACAATGATGAGGACCAAAATATTTCAGAGCCTTATAGACAAAGTGAAAAATCTACATCTTTCCCCCTGTTAAAGGGGGCCACCGCAGGATTAAGCAGTAAAATTTTTAACTTCATCTTAATATTTAGAGATGCTTCATCATTTAAAAAGAACACGTGTGACACCCTGATTTGGCAGGCTCTAGCCACGACCCAGACCTTGTCACAGGCGCAGACAGCGGGGAAGCCCTGTACACAAGAAGATGCAGTTCTTGGAAGAGTCCAATAGATTTCCCCCAAGGAAGGAAAAGCAGAGGGAGTGGGTGTGGTCACAAGACCCTGGGGCTGCCTGTGACCAGAAAGAGGGCTGCGATTCTCTGTGCTTTGTGAAGACGGGGCCAGGTGAGGGCAGAGTCCCGCGGCTGTTTGTTTGAGTTGTTTAATCCTGAAATGATCATGAGGGGATAATTAAAGGACTATTGGGTCTCAGTAAAGTATTTTCTTTCTTTTTTTTTTTTTTTTTAATTCTAAGATGATACTAGAGCAATTCATATTTCTCCAGGGAGAAAGGAAAGGCGTGGGAGAGTGTCAATCTGTCTCCTTCAATCAAAGCTTAATACCATTTTCTATTATTAACATAGGCAAGCACCTGTTAGATTCAGAAAAAGGTTTGTGAAATTAAGAGAACAGTTACTTGCCTGAAATTAGAAGAGTACACGTAGGACTAGGAGAGGTGTTTATCAAGTTGCCAAGAAACAAAACGTAGGGAGCATGCACACCCGAGGTGATGGGTTCATTTCAGTTCGTTTCCTAGAGCTGCTCAGAAGTCTTTCCACAAACTGGTGTCCGAGAGCAAGAGAAACTCATTCTTTCACTGTCCTGAAGGCAAGAAGGCCAAGATCAGGACATCATAGGGTGGCTTCCATCTGGAAGAGCTGAGAGACAACCCAGTCTAGGCGCTCGCCTAGTTTGGGGGGGAGGAGGCATTTGGCTTTCCTTGGTGTGTGTACGCATTGCCCCATTCTTTACCTTCATCTTCACCCCAATTTCTCTTTTGTGTTCAAATCTCTCCCCACTCTCCTTTCCCTCTCCCTCTTCTTTACCCTCATGCTTCCTTTCTTTCTTTCCTCCCCTCCTCCCCCCCACTCCCTCCCTCCCTTTCCATCTCCTTCCCTCCCTCCTTCCTTCTTACCTTCCTTTAAGAAGGACTGACCCCAGCCAGGCTCATTGTACTGAGCTACATTCCCCTAGGGAACCCACCCCTGTTTTGTTTTTGTTTTCAGGTTTTTGAGAAAGGCGCTAGTAGTAACTAACTTGCCCAGGTTGGGCTCAAATTTGTCGTCTTCCTGCCTTAGCCTTCCAGAGTTCTGGGATTATAGACATGTGCCATCATACTCAGCATTTTACTGTTGGGACAGAATCTTGTTCTGTTGTCCAGGCTGATCTCAGTTACTGGGCTTATGTGCTCCTGCCTCAACTTCCCAAATAGCAAAGGTTATCACTGTGCATCACTCTGGCTACTGTTTGGTGAGGTGTGTTTGAGCACAATGAATACTAAATCTCCAAATGAAACAACTCAAGTAGCATTAATGTAGATCATGTACATAGGTGTTTAAAAGTTGTTGAATAATAGGTAAGAAAGTACAGCACAGTGTGAGAAAGTGACTGTCTAGGACACGGCAAAACCAGGCTTGTTTGTCACGTAAGGCTGTCCTTGGACTAGAAGCCCCCCACCCCACCTCCACCCCCACCCCCACCGCTAAAGCCCTCCTCGTTCTGCACTCTTCCCTCCATTTATTTGAGCTTGGGCCAAACCCACAGCCTGGGGATGTGTGCTGCTTGCTGGATAGCTCACTCTATGCTGCCCTTTGCGTGCTCCAAGATGAACTCTGTGAGAGTGTACACAGAAGTACCCTGACCTGCTAGTGCTGCATAATAGGAGTATTTCTAGTCAGTGAATTGACAAGAGACCCAAGAGGTCCTCGTAAATCTGTTCTTCCTTTGGTATATTTAAGGGTGTCAAAAGTGAACACTTCAGAGCTTCAGATAGCATTGGCTATCATAAGTAGAATCCTAATATTTTACCACATGTTTTCAGTATGAATAAGATAAAATGCATGACTATATAGGATTTGTTGTGGTGCTGGGGATGGAACCGAACCTGGGAGCCAAGTGCTCCGCCTCCATCACGGGCCAGAGCCTTGCTCTTGCCACTGCCTTGACAGTGTAGCAATTTTGTAAAGAAATGGAGTCTGTGATGTCTGCTTTCAGGTGCCAGTTGCAGTCTTCTCAGGCTCAAAACTCAACAGATTTAGCTCGGCCTGGTTGTCCACACCTGCAGTCCTACTATGATCCTTTAAAACCCAGCATGGTTTTGATCCCTGTCTTTAATTCTAAAGTCTGGGTTTCCTGGGTCTGATCTCATTGTGCCTCTTCTGTGCCCACAGGTGTGTGCCATAGGTTATGTTCATCTGAGACTCGGTTGTCAGGGATCACCTGGTGTCACTGAGTGTCTGCTGCTGCTGGGACTTGCTGCTTGCCTTCTTGCCATGTCCAACGAAGTAGAAACAAGCACAACCAATGGTCAGCCTGACCAGCAGGCTGCACCAAAAGCCCCATCAAAGAAGGAAAAGAAGAAAGGTATGGATCCAAATCCCCTCGAGCTCAGTAAAAGGATCTAGAGGTGGAGAAATGTGACACACATTCCAGGCAAAGTAAGGCCTGTCTCTTGCTTGGCCACAACATCAAGCTGAGCTAAACCAGTTGGCAGGCAAGGTTGGCTAACTCCACATGCAATAAGATATATCTCTCAGTGTGCGATGGCACCAATTTAGATTCTATGGGGAATCGTTTGCAATTTCTGGTAACTTCTAGTTACAGTTATCAGCTAGTAAATAATACCATCAATGATATAGTTATCTTTCAGTAACCTGTTTACTACTTTGTTTATTGAAGTCACCATTTTTTAAAAAGTGAAAATCTTTTTCACTAGATCCTCCTGTTTTGGCATGAAGTACAAATAGGAACTGGCAGTGGCCTTAATGATCCACAGCAGAAGAACATGCCATGCTGTGCTTGTTCGCTAGGACCCTTGAGCTCTAGAACAGAGCCTGTAGGAGGAGCAAAGGGAACCAGAAGCACTTACCCACAATTCCTTTCTGTACAACTGTTCAAATTGTGTGGCTGCTAACTTTTTTTTCTTCCATTAAAACTATCTATACCATCCTCTTTACATACTTTTAAGAAGCAGATAAAGTCTGTTCCCAGTCCTACTTCATTTATTCCCACCATGAGTTTGCCATGGTCAGTTTTGTTTCTCTAAGAATTTGTTTTCTCTCCACTCTATATTCAATATTACAAAGCATGATTTTGCTCAAAAGAAGTGAGAATAAAACAGTGAGAATAGAACATTGCATGCAGGATAACATGCAGTATGATCAAGATTTATGCTATTGAATTTTTGAAGATTCTGAGCACATTTCGTTCTACGAGGGACTGCTATCTAAATACAAACTTAATTGTGTATTATTTCTCCATTTTCTCAGGCACTGAAAAAACAGATGAGTATCTTTTGGCCAGATTCAAAGGTGATGGTGTAAAATACAAGGCCAAGCTGATCGGGATTGATGACGTGCCTGATGCTCGGGGGGATAAAATGAGCCAGGACTCTATGATGAAACTCAAGGTACCAGAATACTTTAGCTGTGTCTCAAGGCTGGGTCCAACAGAGGGAAACTTTTTGTGACCTGTATCTCAGATATTTGTTCTAATCAGATAAGTACGTTAGTAGTGTCTTGTTCTCTGAGAAACCATGAGTTAGCATATTTTCTTTTTCTTTCTTTCGTTTTTGTCTTTTTGAGACAGGGTCTCCAGCTCAGGAGACCCTATGCTCACTTTGTAGCCAGGGCTGGTCTTGAATTTGCAGCTATCCTCCTGCCTCAGCCTTCCAAGTGCTGGGATTACAGGCGTGCATCACCACGCCCGGCTGAGTTAGCGTATTTCAAGCACTACTCTGGAGGCCTAATTTAATAAGCAGGCTGACGGGACTCTAGATGGCTTTGCACTTTGGCAGACTCAACAATTGGATGAATCAAGTTTGTCCACCTGTTCCTGTCACTCAGTAACAGTAAACGTTGTGTGTGCAGTTACATGTGTTCTCTTTCATTTTAAACAGTGCCTGGGAAATACTATTTTTGCCTAAAAAGTGTTCAGGTAAAATTCAGGACTCCACCTGGAGGCTTGTTTTCTTCAGTGTTAATCTTTTTGTATTTCAAAATGTTTAACTTCAATAGTATTATGTGAACCTTCTTAGTAAGTAATATTCATGAAATAGTACCAGTGTTAGCAGGAACATTTCTAGGATACTTCTAGTCCAGTCTCCTTATCTGAGCCAGAGACTATTCTGAGGCCCGAAGAATTAGACTGACGTGTTCTACTTTGTTTCGCTAACAATGGTATGCCTCGCTCGGTGTTGTCTGTTATCCCTGATAACAAGTATCTGGTCTTCTTGTAGATGACAAACCAAGCTGAGCACAGAACTATCTTTAAAATGCTTTAGTGTTACAAACATTGTAAGATATTGAATTAGATTTTTTTCTTGTTTTCAAAAATCTCCTCAGGGCATGGCAGCAGCTGGCCGGTCCCAGGGACAACATAAACAACGGATCTGGGTCAACATTTCCCTTTCGGGGATAAAAATAATTGATGAAAAAACTGGGGTAAGAGTTGACATTCACTAACACCTATCTCACTGCCTGATTCGGACTATGTGCTATTTGAATTTCAGCTTCTTAATTTCCTTCTCAAATATCTGTAGGGGGAAAAAAAAACAGGAGTGTGTATTGGCTCTCCCAAGTAACAGGAAGAAAACAGAGTGGGAAGTGATGAGTCCTTTAGTTTGAAATTCATGTCCTGTAAAAGACATGACTGTAAGTTTATGAGCACAAGGTGCTGGTGGTATCGCATGGGTATTTGTGTAGGATCTTAGATATCCAGAACTCGGTAAATCCTAATCTCTTGCTTGTGATGCCTTCGTGCGTCTGTATGCATGAAACTCATTTTAATCTAGCGTTCACGTGTGACTTTACCAGCTAACCTAACTCCCTAGAGCATTGCTGTCAGTATGACTGGCTTTCTTTAATCTTCTGTCTTTTCCTTGCTTCATCACTCCTCAAGTGTATCCCTGATTGCTTTTGTGCTTGATATTATTTTATCATGCAGAAGCACTTTTGTTTTGGTTTTGACCCTTAGCTAAGAGCTTCAAGTCTTTTGAAATACTTTTTCCTCTACTAAACGTATAATAAGATCCCTCCACTTCTAAAGTTGTCTGTAGCTCCTTTCATTGCTGTACCATACTTGGCTTGTGTCAGGACCCTGTGGCAAGACCTCCAGTTGCTCCTCCTTCCTTCCTGGGAATCGTAGCCCACCAGATCTCAGGTCCTCAGGCATCACCTACTCCATCGCTGTCCTGTGACTCAATTCTTATTTTTCTTTCTTGCCAGGTGTGGTTGTGTACGCCTGTAATCCCTGTAATTGGGAGGCTGAGGGAGGAGGACTGCTGTGTGTTGGAGGCCAGCCTGGGCTACAGAGTGAGTTCAAGGCCAGCCTGAACTACACAGTGAAAGCCTATCTCCAAAAGACAAAAAGAAATATCCTCTTATTTTTCCAAGTCGATCAGAGAATACTGACAGATTTCTCCACTGACAGGCACTTGTTCTCTCTCTCTCTCTCTCTCTCTCTCTCTCTCCCTCCCTCCCTCCCTCCCTTCTCTCTCTCGCCTCACAATGTGAAAAAGAGGGGGAAAAAAAGGAGGAAACACTACTACACCAGTAAGGTCCCTGTCACCCGTGACTGCTAGATAATGACATGGACTGTCTAGGATAGGTTGAAGAGTATTTCATGGCAGCATTTGGTAATTTCCAGAATATACTAGGGTTCTCCTAATTATCTATAGGATGGTTTCTTGGCTGCACTGAGCCACCGTCACAAGATTCTCATGACTACTTCTTGAGCAAAGTCATGCCATTCACTTAAATTCATAAAATTCTTCATGTTCTGTATTCAGGTCACTAAGTTAGTAAGGTAGACCTTCTTGGGCTGACTTAAAGGCTGTAATCTCTTTAGGAGTGGCTTTACAAATTCTGAATCTCTGAATTATCAGAACTTGCCTTGTGGCATCCTACCTTTGGGTCAGAAAGACTCAAATATCAATATTTTAAGAAGGAACATTCTTCTTTCTGTTTTCTGTTCTTCCTTTCTTTTGTAGCACTTTCTAACAAGGATTAAATGATAGCTACGGTAGGCTTCAATCAGACAGCAAAACATCTTCCTTTAAGAGCTTTGACCTCTTCCTACGTGCGAGTGTGTTTGTATCTGAGGACAGTCTGCAGTAGGCCACACATGGACCCTGTCACCCACTAGGCCACACCAGAGCTTTGTTCTTCTGTTCTCACTAAGTCGTTCTTTATGTTCTGTATTCAGGTCATAGAGCATGAGCACCCAGTGAATAAGATTTCTTTCATCGCTCGCGATGTGACAGACAGCAGGGCGTTCGGTTATGTGTGTGGAGGGGAAGGCCAGCATCAGTTTTTTGCCATAAAAACTGGGCAGCAGGTAAGCTCCAAGTTTCAATGTCAGGCTGAGAACTGTTTTTTTATGGAGAGTCATAGTGTCTGCAGCTGAACTAGATCGATTGCTGGAAACAATTGAATATAGGAGAGTAAACTTTTTTTTTTTTTTTTTTTTTTGAGGCAGGCCTCATTATGTAGCCCAGGCTGGTCTCCAAAGATGGCAGAACTCCGGCTTCAGCCTCTTAAGTGGAAATTATAGGTGTGCAGCACCATGCCTAAAGGAGAGCCACATGATTCAGAGAATATCTGTCCCTTGTTAGTCTTTCATTGTTGTTTTAAGACAGAGGTTTGCTATGTAGCCAGGCTGACCTCGATCTTGTGGTGATCCTCCTGCCTCAGCTTTCCAAGTGCTGAGATTACAGGCAAATGAGCTCACCCCCAGTTTTAAAATATCCTTTTGAAAAGTCATCAACTCCCAAATGGTGTGTGGCACAAAGATATAGGAATGTATTTTCTTAAAAGGTCAACGCTGACTTTAGAACAAGTCAATTATTCCCAGAAACTGCAAGGAATTTTGAAAATAGTCATGGTACCTTTTCTTTTACCTAAATCCTCACTGGCTCTTCTGCCCTTTAAGTGTCTGGGGATTGCCGTGGCAATGTGTGTAGAGAGAAGGTGATTGCTCTAAACCAGGGGAAGGAGCCAGGAAGAGCACTCGGTGGTCTAAGCCTCTGCCTGGCAAGTGCAAAGACCCGGGTTCAAGGACCCGGGTTCAATCCCCAGTACTGCATGCCATGCTAGTCCCATGCCAAACCAGCCATCTAAACCAGGCATTGTGGCACATGCCTGTAATCCCAGCGCTGGGGAGGCTGAGACAGGAACACTACAAGTCCAAGCTGTGTAGCAAGACCCTGTACCAAGCAAATAAATAAAAAGGTTAAAAAATAAAAAATAAACCAGGGGAAGCAAGGAAAGAGTTTTAAGAGAAAAAAAGAGATCAGTACCAATGAAAACTAATGGAGACACAGAAGAAAATAAGTAAGATAATGATGCTATTTTCTCTTGCTTTAGGCTGAACCATTAGTCGTTGATCTTAAAGACCTTTTTCAAGTTATCTATAATGTAAAGAAAAAGGAAGAGGAAAAGAAACAGGCAAGTACTACTTGACACAGGCTCTTTTGATTGAAGGCCTGTTGAGGACCACGCTGATAGCTATGTGCACATACGGCTAGCTGGACTCTTGGGTCTGCAGGACTCTTCAGGGTCCAGAATTGTCTGTGCTTCCCAGTGGGTGATACTGCAGATTTCCATCCCTGCCTCTTAGCTTTTCTCCCCAAAAACTTGTGTTGGTTACAGGAGCTTCACAGAAAAATCTCCTTCCTGTTTAAAAATTCTATTCAAATCCAGTATCTGTGTGAAAAGGGAAAGGTAGTGTCCTCACAGGTGAAATCCGCAGCACTCTGGCCTTACGCATATGCGTGCCTAAGTCTGTTGGTTCTTTTATCTCACCTTGTCTTGCTGCAAACACTTCACTGAAATTGTGTCTTTCCTTACAGGCAGAAGAAGCCAGCAAAGCAGTTGAGGTAAAACCACATCTCTACTTCTCGCGAACTAGGGGTGCAGTGCGTGGGAGCTTTTCTTTGCTGTCTGCCCAGGCCCTCTCCCCTCCTAGCTGTGTGTTTCTGGCCTCTCTGTTCATGGAAATACAGAGTTAAAGGATCAGCACCAAAATAGTAACTACCCAGTAAACACCACCATGTTAGGAAAGTAAATTCTGGAGGGAAAACTCATCAGCTACCCTTATGTGTCTGTGACTTTTTCAGAATGGAAGTGAGGCCCTAATGACTCTTGAGGACCAAAAAAACAAACTGAAATTGGTACGTATGGGATATTTCATGGTTCTTACTCTGCACGTGGGTCTACTTTCTGCAGACAATGATAATGCCTAATAGGTGTTGAATCCATGTGAAAATCCAACAGCAGCAAGTACTTCCCTAAACATTAGTGTAGCATTTATGTCATATACGAAGTAAACTTGAAGCTAATCCAAATATTTTTTAAGGGTGCATTTGTCTGGGGATATATTTACAGCTCCTGACCTAAATAACTGAATAGTAAATCTATATGAGTTAAGTGAAACTGCATTTGTGGGCTTTTGGGGATTTGTTTGTTTGTTTTATCTTTTTTTTTTCTTTTGAGACAGGGTCTTGCTATATAGTTCAGACTGACCTTGAACTCACTGTGTAGCTTAGACTGGCCTCAGACTCATTGTGATCCTCCTGTCTCAGCCTGCCAGTGAAAAATCCCTTAATGTGGGAAATAAAAAATTGCAACAATATTCAAAGTAATCCTTCCTAGTGGACACATCTGAATCTAATCCAAATACTTTTTTAAGGGTGTTGACCAGATGGATTTGTTTGGGGACATGTCTACACCTCCTGACCTAAATAGTCCAACAGTAAGTGCTTGTTTTTAAATTTGCAATGTAATGAAAATAACATCTATAATTCAAAATTGGCTATTAACCAGAAATCTCAAGCATCTTGTTGAAATTTGGAAGGTGACTGCTGATTTTTCCACATAAAGTGTAAAGGGCTTCTAGACTAAATGCAGACCTTGAGTCACCAAGGGAACCGATGGATACATTAGTGCTGCTTAGGGTTAAGTCTGAGCAATAGGCCAGGCCGTGTGATCTTTCATAGTATTACTTGGGTTAGAAGGAGAAGCTGATAGTAATTCTTGGCCTAAGCTGCTTGCAGGAGTTCTGATTGTTGCTCAACTAATCCTAAAGCTTCCTGGCCTCTTCAGCTTTCCCCTACCTTCTGTTGCAATCTAGCAGTGTAGCCTTGTGCAGTAAAATTTCAACAAAAGGCTCAATGTGTGCAAGCAAAGCCCACCCTTCTCAAAAACTTGGTAATTTTTAATAAATCATCACAGTATATCAAGACTTCTCAATTTCTGCTCGTAGTTACCAAAACTGTAAAAATAGAGCAGTGTTTTCTCTATGGGTAAGAAAATACTCCAGGAAAAAAGAACTTGTGCCCACAAAAGAGGGCCAGATTCAAGTTTTAAGCTCTGATCTTCAGACCTTCTAGGCACAAATGAAAATATTCGTGTATTTTTCAGTGACCCCTGGCAACTAGCATTATTTCTTAGCAGCTTCTTAAGTGCCTGCTTTTGGCAAAGCCCACCAGTAAAATGTACAATATTGGCACATGCAGGAATGTGCTGTCTAGCAGGGAGACTGACTTTAAATCTCATCCCAAAGCCGGCTAACTAATGCCTGTTAGGGGGCATTCACCTGCTTGTGAAAGGGATTGGGAGGGAGTTTTTAGACTTGGATGTGAAGGATAAGAGAATGATAACTAGACGAACAGAGAATTAGTCTAGTCTAATGGAAGAGCTGTTCAGTTAGGAGTCTCTTATGTCAAGAACTTAGCAAGCAAGTTTGCAAGACCAAGGAGGTCTCAAGAATTCAGATAGCAGGTTGGAGGCTGGGTAAGAGTCTCCCTAATTGTGGGAAACATCACTGCAGAAGCATGTGGGCCAGCAAAGGCAGGAGCAAGGCTCTTCTAGGCCCCCTCTACACAGATCAATTACCAGGGAGCACTGTGCCCGGCTCTGGGCACATGCAGCAAGAACCAGTCTAATGTTCTTTGAAAATGTGAGTCCTGACCTACTTGTCCATAGAACCTTTCTCTTCAATGTTTGCTGAGATACTAGATCAGATGAGCCTCTCTCTGGGATTTTTCTCTTTTGGTTCCTAAACAACACTGCCCACAGCACAGTATTCAAAGGGTTATACTAAGAGAGTAAAAGCACCCAAGATACAAAGTGGGGTCCCAGAAAGGGGCAGTAAAGTCCTGTGCTGATGCCTCTGTTGACTTTAGCTCACAGTTGCTCTACAAAGTGTGAAGTGAGAAAGAAATAAAAATCAATTAGAGTTCATTAGTGGCTCCATTGACTGTAGTTTCCCCAGTGTGCTTATGTTGCAAACTAAGTGCCAGTCATTATGACATGATTTTGTTAGAAAATCACTTAAGTATTAATTCTTCTGTACTGTGTGTGTGTGTGTGTGTGTGTGTGAGAGAGAGAGAGAGAGAGAGAGAGAGAGAGAGAGAGAGAGGAAGACAGAGACAGAGAGAGGGAGAGAAAGGGAAATAAAGGGAGGCAGGGAGAGGGAGGGAGGGAGAGAGAGAGAGAGAGAGAGATGCTCTTTAACATTAAAAACTTGACCATTTGAAAGCTTGGTTAATATGAGAAGAATGTAAGGTACGGTCCACCATCAAGGAGATTAAATCTAATACAAAGGAGGGACCAGGTTAAAAAGTTGAAGTATTATGTGACCACTTGTGCATATCCCACATGACCCCATGGTGTGCACATAGGGAATGCTGAACTAGAAAGATAATTGGGAAAGGCTTTGTAAAGAATCTGAATTTGAGGGCCCAGATGTGGTGGCACATACCTGTAATCTCAGTGCTTGAGAGGCTGGTGCGGGAAGATCACCACTGTTTTGAGGCTAGCCTGGGCTATAGAGTGAGGTCAAGGCCAGCCTGATATACAGACTGAGATGTTTCAAAAAACAAAAAAAAAAAAAAACAAAAAAAAAAAAAAAATCTGATTTTGAGTTGGGCTTTTGCATTGGTGATAAGGCCAGACTCAAAGTGGATACTACTATGATCATTTTGAAAACTGGTCTACAGCGGCTTAATGCACATGCGAGAGAGCAGGAAGCCACCAGTGGCCTTCAGCAAGCAAGTCCTGGATTTGGTGAGCTAGAATGAGTACCTGAGCTGAGTCACAAGAAGGGAGCACTAGAACTCAGGCGTTAAAGCCTCAACCATTGTGCACATGCCTGTCCAATTGCCTGGATGGCTCTGTTACATGTTCCCCTGAAGAACAGGTCTGTGCTTCACATTTCTGCATCTGGGGACTGTCAGGTACTTGGGTGGCCCAGGGTGTGAGTGCAGACCAGCAGAGCAGAAGCTCTGGCCCCTGGGGTAGATCAGGAGTCCCACCTGTCATCTCTGAACGAGACTTCACCTGGGACTGACACAACCCGGACCTGAAGAAGCCTTGTACATTTCACTTGTAGGGTGACGATTCAGAGGTGTAACTTTTGGCTCCTGTTTGGTGTCCTAAGAACTTCTGAAGTATTTGAAAAGGAGAACTCTGCCCGCTGAGAACACCCATCTGTTCTAATGTAGAGGTGGCTCATAATAAAACAATAAATATCAAAATCACAAACTTTGTAATACATTTTGCCCTACCTTTTGATTTTTAAAACATCTCTTCATTAAGAGATCTTCCAATCCATTTCTTTGATTAAAAATTTTGAAATTACAAGCTGTATCTTGTGAAAAATTCTTATAATTATAAACCTGACTTTTCAAAATTATGTTTTTATGCCTCCTAGTAATGAAGCCAAAAGATAGGACGTCACTGAAGTCTGATTTTTCTTTCTTTTCTTTGGTCACACAAAGTAGGATGTGAACTTTCATTTTCTCTAAAAGTTAAGAAAACCTACTTGAGTCCTCCTATATGTACAAATCTGAGAAGTTAATATTCCCTGAGATTTGTTTTTTGTTTCAGTGATCAAAAATTGAGTGCTGTGCTCAGTTTCATGCGGTTTATCTTCCATCTTTGAAACATGTGTCTGTTATTTTCTATGGCTAGCATAATTGAGTATTTAATGCATTGAAGTCAGAAAGAAAGGATCTGTATGAGACTCCTATCCCAGAGTGAAATGTGATTTGTTAGGTCAGTAATTAGAATACAGATGTTAGTTTTATCAAATTTTATACTGAAAAAAAGTATGAAAATAGAGAGACCAAATAGTCAAAATATTAGAAAAATGATAGGAGTAGTAGAGCTAGGCATGTGGTGTTGTGTCACTCAGATTCAGACTGAGCCACATCTTTACACCTAAATGGACTAATTGAATTAACACGCAATAGATGGAATCACTTCTACTGCATAGGGGCCTACATGCCATATTCTGAAAAATGTTTCTAAATACAAGGAGTAATATGTGAGAGTTCAGATGCAACAAGTGTTTTGAGTGGCAGAGAAGGCCATAGGCAAAAGGGGGTAGATCCATGGAAGAGACTTGGATGGTAAGGGTGAGATCCAACTTGGAAACACCTCCAAGAGCCTTCAGTTTTGAAAGAGGCATTCTCGCAGGCTGTGAAGTGAAGGGAAATTGTTTTTCCCTCTAGGAGAAACATCTGAACCAATTACATGGAAATTTAGCTCACTTTCATTACAGTGAGAACTGGGCAATGTGAAAGCATTAGCCAGTGCATTCCTTCATGTAGAGGGGAGGTGCTAATGACTGGGGGGGATAGGAGTGACACCCGGATGTGGTGCTGGGGCAGGGCTAGACATCTGAAGTAACTTTATGAACTTGAGCATATTTAGATAATCCTGTAGAATGACACCAAGCTCACAGGTGGGAAGTAAAACGATGCTGACAAGGAGCTCAGTCCATCCAGCTGCATGCAGGAAGGGTGAGGAGAGACAGGAAGTAAGCAAGAGTACGATTTTGCTTAATGAAGGACCAATAAAGCTGAGAAATACAAGAGCAGGTTGTGAGGGAGGGGAGGTGTACTTGAGTGTGCAGTCAGCAGGGCTTCCTGGTAGTGGGCGGTAGTGGGAGGAAAGGGAGGAAGACGGAGCTAGTGGCGTGGGGCCATCCAGTGTACGGAGAGCGAATTTGGACGGGATTTCAGTGCTCCTAGTCATTTTATAGTTTACTCATTTGAAGCCATAACATGGACTAACACTGTCTTCTTTTTTTTTTTCTTCCCAAATGTGATAGGAAAGCAAAGATATCCTGTTAGTGGATCTAAACTCTGAAATCGACACCAATCAAAATTCTTTAAGAGAAAATCCGTTCTTAACAAATGGCATCACCTCCTGCTCTCTTCCTCGACCAAAACCTCAGGCGTCCTTCTTGCCTGAAAATGCCTTTTCTGCCAATCTCAACTTCTTTCCCACACCTAATCCTGATCCTTTCCGTGATGATCCTTTTGCACAGCCAGACCAATCGACACCCTCTGCGTTTGATTCTCTCAAACCTCCAGATCAGAAGAAAGAGAATTTGTGTAGTTTGTCTACTCCACTGAGTAATGGGCCCCAAAATGGTGATGTTGATTACTTTGATCAGCAATTTGACCAGATCTCTAACCGGACTGGCAAACAGGAAGTTCAGGCAGGCCCGTGGCCCTTTTCAAGCACGCAAAGCCAGCCAGCAATGAGAACTCAAAACGGGGTATCTGAAAGAGAACACAACGGCTTCCATATCAAATCTTCCCCAAACCCTTTTGTGGGAAACCCTCCCGCAGGACTCTCTGTACCGAATGGCACAAAGCAGGACTTGGAAAGCCCTGTCCAGTCCACACCACATGACTCCATAGCTATTATCCCACCTCCACAAAGTACCAAACCGGGAAGAGGCAGAAGGACTGCTAAGGTGAACTGTCTTCTCCACATCTCCATTAGCAGAGTGCATGCTCGGTACCCGAGGGTGGTGTGACGCAAGCTGTCTCTTCCCCCTGCTCTTGTAGTTCCCCATGTGGCTGTAACTAGAAGGTGGGATAAGGCACATCTGGTCTCCGGGACACCTTCCTAGGATGGCCGTTTTTTCTAAGCTTCTCGGCAGTGTTTGTCACATCTGCTTTCCGTTTGCATGTCTTGTCCTTTAATACTAAACTAAACACAAGTTTTTCCATTTTTAACGCTGCTATGCTTCTCTACCCCTGGTAAGTTTGATTGTGGTGTTCTGGGTGGGAGGGCAAGTATCAGTATCGCTGTGATTCCCCTTGTCCACCCCCCATACTAATACCCGCAGCGCACACCCATCATTGCATTAATGCCCACAGGGGTGGTGGTGTACCATTCTCATATCACCCCCTTTACATGTTGACTTAATAACCCATTTTCTTAAAAGAACCTTACCAGCTTCATTCAAATGCAGTTTCTATGTGTATCTTTTTAAAACTCATAGCAATATGCAATTTTACCTTATCATTAGCTATCTTTTCCATGTAGACTCAGTAAGATCCAGGGAGACAATCAGAATTACATAGGATACTTATGTGTTGTCGCCTGTGCTTTCCCAGCTTCAGGCCTTGAGCCAATCAGAAGACCACACTGATACAAGTGAATTAATGAAATCAGATTTCGTTTTTCAAGTCCTGGGTTATGTCAGTCTGTAAGCCCCAATAGTTCACCCGTTGTAATAATATTTATCTTTCTGTGTCTTCCCTTTTGGTCTTTTGGGTAGTTTTTATTTATTTTGGCAGCTGTCATTTATTAGTAATAGGAAAAGTGTCCTTTGTGTGGACCTCAGGTGTGGGGTAAGGAGTAGGAAGCAGCTCAGGGCTGTGTTTCACTGTTCCTGAGTAACTCTTCTCCCTCCCTCCTGCCCTGTCAGTCTTCGACAAATGACTTGCTCGCGTCAGACATCTTTGCTCCTCCCGTCTCAGAACCTCCAGGCCAGACGTCGCCCACAGGACAGTCTGCAGCCCCACAGACCAACCCCTTGGATCTCTTCAAGACAAGTGTTCCTACCCCCATCGGGCCTCTTGCGAGTCTAGGTAGGTGCCTGAAGGTGGGGCTGGGCACGCCTGCTGCTTTCATTCTTGCACCCTGATACACAGGGGAAGGCATTTCTTATCCACAGCGGGGTCCTGGGTGGAAACCTGCAAATCCAGGTAGCTCTTCTCTCTTCTACTCCTGCACAACCCACCACCATTTCTACTCTCATCCTGTAACTGAGACTTGGCTCCTCCAGTTGGCACATGATGAGAAATCTGTGTTCAGTATCATAGGTACCCAAACCAACTGGTCACGTTCTCTTGGGAGATGGCTCGAAGGGAACATGACGCTCAGGGCAGCTTCAGGGGTGAAAGGAGGAGATGAAAGAGTCTCGTCTGTTGTCTGTGTTGGCAGAGTAGTAAGGCGCATGCCTTTCGTGTCATTTGCCATGACAGAGTATAGGTCCAGCCCCTCTCTCAAGTTAGATCCCTTTTTGAAGCAGTATGTGCTTCAAGATGGGTCTAAGCGAAGTCTATCGCAAGTCAGATCTAGGATGAGAGTCTTGGGTTCTGGGCCCAGATGTGTCCCTCGGCATAGGTAAGCATGAAACTCTCATACATCGCAGTCAGCCGTAAGTACTTTCTCCTCAGAAGATCTTTGCTAGTAGTTTCCTAGCAGAGAGTCTCTGTTGTTAGAAGGTAAGTCCTTTAAACCTGGACTTGCAGGAAGCATAAAGCGGTGACAAAGTCCTGGGAATATAGCTCAGGCACAAAGGCTTGCCTGGCAGGCACAAGGTCCAGAGTTCAATTCCAGTACCAAAAAAAGTAAAAAGAAAAGAGCAGCTACAAGAGGAGGTGCTCCCATGTGTGACGGGGTGTCCTCAGCTACCTCAGCCACTGAGCCTCTCTGCTGTGGGATGATGGGAAAGGCCATCTGCCTAAGGGCTTGTCCTGCTGCTCTTTTTCCGTAGCCTCCAGCCCTTTCTGGTTTCCTAATACAATTTGAAGAAACCCCAATAGTTCTTCTTGCTGTCTTGCTGGGGACTGTCTTTGTTTTTCTGCATCTTGGCACCTCTATAAGTTTGAGTAGCCTGTAGTATGGGAGGTGAGGTATATTAGATAGAGGAGAACTCTCCCTCCTTGATGAAATTTGTCCAGAGTTCTTGGTTTGCATTGCCTCTTGCAGTCAGTCACTGGGACGCTCTGCTGCTGCTGCCCCTTCTTTTTCTTCTTCCTACTCCTCCCCTTCTTTTCTCTTCCATCTCTGTTTTCTTCCTCCCTCTGCTGTTTTCCTGCAAAGGAAAACATTTTGGTTCTGTCACCAGAGATCTGCTTAGATCATATCAGGGTGGGGGTGGGGGGTACTTAGTGGCTGAAATCCATGCTTGGGTGAAAAGAAGCTGCTGTGTCCGGGTTTCTGCTTGGTGTTTTCTTCAGGAGGCTCTCCCTAAACCCTTCGTGTCTCTCACATCTTCCTCTCTCTGCTGGATCTGTAGCCTGCATCCCCGGTAGAGCAGGTTGGTGTCTTTCCTGAACAGAAAAGCAGAAAACTTGCATGCGATGTTTGTGGCCGGATCACATCCCAGAGCTTTGCAGTCTAATATCAATGCCCTGAAGGATTTTTACAGCCAATATTTAACAAGTCAGCCTGAAAATACAGCTGGACCCTATAACTGTTAATTTATTCAGACGAAGTGAAGCTTTTTGGCTAGGTGCCTCCGTGGAGGCCTTGGGGTATACAACTGCAGAATACTGATGATTCTTTTAAGTTTGGACATGGAACTCAAACTGAGCCCTACAGTATAGCCCCTGTCCACTAGCAGAGATACTCAGCCAAGCCATGGAAGGTTGGAGGTCTGGCTTCCGCTAGGCCCAGCTGGGGGACTGTCTCCTCTGGAGACCCGGGGGTGGGGAGAGGGTGGTAGCGGAAGCTGAGCCCTCGGCTTTGCCTTGCTTGCCGCCCCACGTTTTGATGTAGCTTCAAAAGGTAATAAAATTAATGTTTTATATCCACGCTGCCTTTTCCTTAGTCCTTGCCATTACTTTCTTCAGCTGGGCTGTAAATGTCTTAGAAATACAACATGCGGAATGTGGTGGATGGGAATGGAGGCTGCAATCAGCATGCACTGGGGAAGTCTTTCATTCCTGGAAAATAAAACAGTTTTCTCTTTCACAAACATCACTCTTACTGATGTTGTCTATGACTAAAGCTGTGAATTTTCCAAACAAATGCCAAGTAGTCCACAGTGAAAGCCGATACAATGTTCTTTTTTTTTTTTTTTTCATATCTTACTGGTGAAAATTATTAAAGAATCTGGCTTCAGCTAATAAAATTTAAATAAGTTTGTTTTAGAACACTAACAATAACTTTTTTCAAACTGAGCTCAGACTTTTAAGACTTATAGACTATAAGAGAAATTGTCCCCTGGTTTGAAGAGATGCATTCTTCATTGCAAATGAAGTCTGATTTCCATTTCTAGGACATTAAATACCATTTTGAAAAAAAAAAAAAAGTGCTCTAGTGCCTTCCCATCAAAGAGGAAAAATGGGAGAACAAGGTGCCAGATTCCAATCCAGCATGCCAGACTTTGTCTCTGTGGTCATAGGCTGTGACCGCCTCAATTTTAATTACATTTTTATCCAGTTCCCTCAAGCATGTTGATTAAGTAAGGTGGCCATTATTGCACCTTGTCTTATTGTGAGTACAAATGTATTCCCAGCCACCTGGCCAGCCTTCCTGACAATAGAGCGTTGAAATGATAAGCAGGTCTACGAAAGAATATTTGGCTAGATCAACTCTAAATGCCATTTGATAAGTACTAACTCAAGAAGCAAAAAGATTCCTACCCCAAGTGTGAAGCCTTCTTCAGAATCGATTAGAAGTCAAAGAATAACCAGCCTTAAACCTCAAAGCAAGTAGGCTTTGGGTGCAGAATGTCAGCGTCATCCATTAAGAAGCTGAACTTGGGCTTTTGTCAGTGGCGGCAGTTTTCTGACTCATTAATACACTCGGGAGGAGGAAGGCGAGAAGGTGTCCTCGCTACTAGAAGACATTGGGAATATACCTCTCGAGAGGAGGGGAATTGGGGACACGTGTGTTTTCATGACTTAACTGATTGTTAAGGTACATGGCAAGGATTCAGACAGTGAGCTGTCCACCCACTCAGACCCCTTGTCCTGTGCAGTTTCTTGTTTCCTTTATCATTTGTCTTCCCTTTCTTATTTAAATACTCTTCTAATTTCTGGGAAGGTTTAGCGAATGACACATGGCAGGAAGTACTTTTATTTGAAACCGCTTTCCCAGGATAACAGTCATTCTGGGGTGGAAGCATGTTGGAACCTCATGCACGTGCATGACAGCTGGATTCCCTGTCTCCAAGCCCAAGCCAGCTGCTAAGGGGCTAGTCCAGGACTCGGAGCACCCTGTGCATTGTCTTCATGGTTTCCTCATCAGTGGGATTTGTATGTAGATGTGTTCACATGATAAATCATGTCCTGCTGTTGTCGGGCTCTGGTCTGATTGTTTGATTGGTTTTGGTTTTTTGGGACAGGGTGTGTCTCTGTTACTCTTCTCTCATTGCTGGGACAAATACCCAATACCCAAAATGAAGGAAGGAAAGGTCATTCACAGTGACTGGAGGTTTCAGTCCATACTCAGTTGGCTCCAAGGCGGGCTGGCACGTGGCAGAGAGCAACTTTTCATGGCAGTGGCAAAGAGCAGAGAGCAAAATGGAGGAGTAGCAGCAACAGTGACAACAGAGAGGAAATCTGTCTCTCTGTCTCTCTTATGTTACATTCAGGCTATCTGCCCCAGGCTAGATGTAGCTCTCACACCCATAATCCTGGAAGTACTAAGACCCATCATCCCAGTGGACCATGAGTTAATCTCAAATTCTAGAGGTCCCCACCCCATAACTGCATGAGGCTTTGAGGGGACGAGACACAAACCATAACAGGGTTTCACTGTGTCATTCAGTCTGTCCTTGAATTCACTGTGTAGCCCAGGCTGGCCTCAGACCCCTAGTGATTCTCCTGCCTCAGCCTTCCCAGAGCTGGGATTACAGGTGTGTGGCATGATAGATTTGATCTCGTTGTTTGAGATACATCAGTTTCATTGGTTTTTGTTACTGCTTATGCGTGATGAAGAGAGTTTTTCATAGGCATGCATAGATTACATTATCCTTCTGGTGAGGCAAGTCAGAAAGGTGTGGTACAAAGAACACAGGCCCCCAAATGCAACCAGCAACACGTACTAGTTATGGCGTATCAGCCAGGTGACTTTTGGGGTGACCGAATGGCCCAGAGCTTTAATTTCAGGCTACATAGACCCTCTTTAAGGCTCCTCGGAACTCAGGCTTTCACAAACTCGGGAGTCCACTTCGAGCTCGTGTCCTGATAAGTCCCTTCTCCCTCTTCCCCCAGGCGGTGTACCAGTGTCGCCCCCGCACGCGGGACCGTGGAGCCCACCGATTGTCTTTAACCAGTCCACTCCCATGGTCCCGGGAGCCACGGTGGTGGGTCAGCCCGCCGTGTTCAGCCAGCCAGTTGTTTTTGGTACTAGCCCAGCTGTGCAGTGTTGGAACCATCCTGCACCCTTCGGATCCTCAGCATCCCCCCCACCCCCTGCCGCTTGGGGTTCTTCCGTGTCGGTGGTACCCAGCGCCTGGCCGGCAGCAAGCTCGCTGGGGAACCCTTTCCAGAGCAACGTGTTTCCTCCGCCGCCCGCTCAGCCCTCCGCTGTGCTGCCCTCGCTCGTGGTCGGTCCGCCCCAGCCGCCTCCCAGAACTGCCCCTCCGAAGGACATCCCCAGCGACGCCTTCACTGCCTTGGACCCGCTCGGGGACACAGAAGTCAAGGAAGTGAAAGAAATGTTTAAGGACTTCCAGTTGCGGCAGCCCCCTGCCGTGCCCTCGAGGAAGGGCGAGCAGCCTTGCTCCGGAGCGTCCAGCGCCTTCTCCAGTTATTTCAACAGCAAAGTAGGCATTCCCCAGGAGAGTGTGGACCACGATGATTTCGATGCTAATCAGCTATTGAACAAGCTCAACAATCTCCTTGGTAAGTTCCTCCCTCCCTCATCTGCCTGCTGTACCGACTGTTAGTGCTGCCGTGGGGGCCCAGCAGGTCCTTCAGGAATGCTGTCCTGCCCACCCATGCATGGCCTTACTCCTGCTTTCTTTGGCATTCGGTGGTTATGGAGACAAGACAACCATTTACCTTTTTTTGTTTTTTGATTTTCATAGTTACTTTTTTTTTTTTTAATATTTATTTATTTATTTATTTTGTGTGTGTGTGGCCAGCTCAGCCCACCAGGGGGCGGGGCTGGCTGGCATGTGGTGCTGGGGGATTGAACCGCGGTCCCTGTGCTTTGTTTAGCTTAGCTTGTTCTAAGTAGGTGCCTTAGACCACTGAGCCATCTCACCAGCCCCCATAGTTACTTTTTTTTCCCATAATTTTATTGAGAAACATAGCAATGAGACAGTTTTAAACCAAATTGGTAGGACAGTTTCAATACATTGCATACATTCTTCCTAGTGGTTAATTGCTGTACAAGATGCAGACATGATATCCTATTTACAAACACCATTAGAACAAATCCCTCTAATCATTAAGAGAATGTAACTATATATCTATCCTAACCTTTTGAATACACAGATACAAAATAGACATTCATCTGTATCCCTTTTTTTTTTTTTTTTTGTTTAGTTCCGTTATTTGAATATTATAGGTGTGTTAACTCAGCAAAATATTCTAAAAGAGTCCAGTAGCCCATAATAGCATTGGGTCTTCCGCTTCACTGGCAGTGTCAGAAATTATTGACCTGAGTCCCCTACAGCTCAACATAACAGCATGGCTTTATTTCCTATATTTCGTCTTCATACTTTTCTACTGGATGGTTAAGACCAAGGTAAAGCAGGACCTATGCAACAAGAATTGTAGCTTTTGGGTCTGATAAGGTCAGTGAAATGCCCTCAGGATTTATCCTGAGATCCTGTACCTCAGATTGTAGAACCTTTGTCAGTGTCAGCCATGTGGATGAGTCACGGCCAATGCTTGGCCAGTGTGCTTTCTGTGAAAGCCTGAGAGAATGTTTTCTCTCCATGTGACTCTCCATAGGCACACTGTACATCATTGATCACTTTCCTCTTTTGCCCCATAATCTCCTTGATCAGAAAATTTGGGACACCAATAAACTTCTCTTCTGGTGGATTAACAACTATTTACCTTTTGGAGCCAGTGATTGACTCTTAGCCCATTTTAAAGATCGGCCCAATGCTGCCCTCTAGTGGTAGCTATTAAAAGGGCTGTCAAGAGCTATTGAATTATGGACTGGAGGACCTTATAACAAAGCTGCTCTCATTTCCCATTGCCTTCAGGGAGCTCTGAATCTCTAACATTTCAGACCAATGCAGGTGGCTTTCACTTCTCAGTTAAGCTAGACTTGCTTACAGTCGTCGCTGAACATCCTAATATTTGGTAATGATTTTTATTGCACCAGTGCAAATTTCAAACGTACATAATTCAGTATCAAAGATAAAGTGAGTTGGGGGGGTGTATCACCAGGGAGGACGTCTCGCTTACTAACTGCTTGGAATGTTTCCTTCTAGAACCACCAAAGCCAGCTCCCAGACAAGGTGCCCAGTCAGTTACCAAACCTAGCAACAAAGCGTTTGAGAACCCTTTCTCTAAGGATGCCTTCAGCTCCCCGCAGCCCTCCGTAAGTGTCAACTCCCAGAAGCTGGTGCTCCGCGTACACCCGCACAGTGCCCCAGCTTCCCGAGTGAGCCTTGCCTGCATCGTAAATTTCGGATGACAGTGTCTGTTTTACTAAGGTTTGCCCTTGGGAACCTTCGCAGTATAAGCATGCCTTCAAACTGGACTAAGATTATTTTTACAGGAGCGGCTTTCTCCTGGGATTGAGAAATAATAGGTAGCAAACACCATTCTTTTCTCATTTCTCCTGGCTTCTGAAAGCAGTTTGAGAGAAAATTGAACCAAAATACCATCTTAAAAGCCATTAAAATATTTCAATTCTATTTATTTATTTAATACAGGCTTACAGGGTCTCACTACACAGATCAGACTCGTAGATGATCCTCCTGTTTTTCAGCCTTCCCAGCGCTGGGATTACAGGCATGCACCACCACGCCCAGTCTCAGTTGCTATCTCAGCATGCCCCAGAGGCGGGGCCAGCCTGGTAGGCTGGGGGTTGAACCCCCAGCCCCTGCATCTGCCTAAGCAGGCAGTTTAATCTGCTGAGCTATCTGGCCAGCCCTGAAAGTTTAGGTGTTAAGGTTCTACCTGTGATTCTGTAGCTCAATAATGTTCCCCACATTGAGGAGGTGAAGGCAATTCACCTGAACCTTGATTTTGAGTAAGTAGTGTATGTCACCGTCTATAAACAGGCGGGCACAAATCATGATAAGCTCATTGATTGATTTATGATCTAAATGACTTTTAAAGGAATTTAAGAACTCTTAATTATGTTTTTGGTATGACTATAGTTATGTTTGTTGCCTGAATTATATTTCTTTAGATGGCTTCCCCTCAACCTGCGTCTTCTGATGCGTACAGGGACGCTTTTGGAAATCCTTTTGCCTAACTTCGTAAGTAGGAGATCCCATTAAGCTTATGTGTGGGGAAGATGTTGTGAGTAAAGAGTGAGATTTTAGTTTCAGAATCAGAAAGAAGTTAAATATCTGTAATTTAATAGTAATAGATGTAGAAATCAGTACAGAGTTAATTCAATAATGATGGGCTATTTGCAAGGAGAATTATTATGTACATCAAGATATGATGTGATCATGGGATTGAGCTCAGGTTTCAATGTTTCCATTCTGAATGGAAGCAAAACTCAGTATAACACACATATTTTGAGCTTTCTAGCTTTTTAATGTTCATATTGAAGTGAGTGCAAAGTGTTCCCATAGTAACTTCGGTTCCACTCATCTGAGGACCTTCCGGAGCCACCAAACAAGTCCACTAAATAGATAATGGTCATGACTCTCTGCCACGTACCTCTTTGTAAGCCCTCTTGGTTGGTCTGTGATAGTATCTAAATTGTTGGCAGCTGTTTCTGTCTCCCTCAGAAGCAGCAAAAGATCAGAATCAGTCAGAAGGCGCACTCTCCTGCAGTGGGCTCCTTGTCAGATAAGCTCATAGGCGTGCCCACCTGCAACCCAGCCCCTGGTAAATTAGATACAGTAAGCCATTAACAATAGTAATAATTAACAAAAAATAGCCTATTATGTTAATGGGTTGGATGAAGATAAATTGTGAAAGAAACAACTACTATTACTGAGCACTTGCGTGTGTTGAGTCACCTTATTACTTGTTCTACGTTTCTTACCATATTCAGCTCTTCACATCAGCCCTGGGAGACTCTGTTATTGACATTCTTAATAGTGATTAGATATTTAACATATTGATATTTGACTCTAACCGTGAGTTTTGTTCTTTGTATTTTTATAGGAACTTGGAAGGCTGACTTTCCAGAGGAACGAAAAGGTTGGCCTTAGTAGTCAAGGACAAAGCTGATAGCCAGACACGTCCTGACACTGCCCTTGTTCCAGCTTTAACGAATTATCTGTTGCCTTATTTCTTGTTGCCTCTTCCCCTTGTAAAATTCCTTTCACTTTCTGTCTAGGCTAAAGCTAAACGGAATCTATGGCTTTAAGTAAATTGAGTCCCTAAACTCTTTAGTTCGAATGTAAATGACGTAGCCTTCCTGCCAAATTCTTACCACCGTGTTCCTGTGCCCTCACACGCTGTACCTTCTGCCTTCTGGTTGGGCCATGCTGATGCCACCATCAGATACCATTTTGAATAAATGGCCAATTCCTTCCCCTTAATTTGAGAATTCTGTTTCAGAGCAAAAAACCTAAAATTCCAGTAGAACAATACATCTTCTTAAAAGAACTTCCAACCATCACTTACAGAAAATTTTTTGAATAAAATGGAAGTCCAGCCTTTCCTCAGATGCTTTGGAATCTCATCCACCTGAGGACAGTTTTAAAGCTATTTCTCCCAGATCAGCTTCTCTCCCAGCCAAGAGTGTCCTTTTGCTAACTCTCTAGTATTACAAACGAGGGAGACACATTATCCATTTCTTTGCCTTTTCCCTCTGATTCTTTTTTCAATCTGTTTCGTTCCTGGATTCAGATACCACCCCCTCCAGGTTTTTTTGTTTATTTGATTGTTTGGTTTTTATTATTGTTGTTACTGTTTTTACAAACAATAGATTTTCATGGGGTTAAAAAAAATATCAAATGATTCACAGACCGGGAGCCAGTCTTTGTTGTAAGTAAATGCTAGTCCCAGAGCTACTAGTATATGCCCTATAACCTTCCATGGACTAGGGGACCATCCTCAAGCCGAAGTTCAGAGGAGCAGTGAATGTGGAAGAAAACTTGAACTTCACTCGGTAATGAAGGGCCATGTTCTACCGAGGAGCACATCACGAAGCTCAGTGGGACTGGTGCTTTGGTGGGGCTGTCATGCCAGGCCTTTATCAAGGAACTGGAAAACTTTTCTTGAGGCCATGCTTTCATACTTACTAGGAAGATAAATGGAAGGGGGAAAGGTAATGAACAAGTATTTGGTGTTATCGTCAGACATCTAATGCCTGCAATATTTTTCTCCCATAACCTTGGAAACTTTCCCAGGGCATCTTTAGTCCTATTGTTAGCCCGGTTCTGAAGGATGTGTGCTTGCCAAAATTATTTTGTTTTATGTGAGGTTTTTTAAATGTTATCTCTTGACCCTTAGTGCTCAGGTTCTTGTGGGTGTTAATCAATCACATCCAACGTTACCTTTCCGAGGGAGAGACAGGATGATCGCTCAGGATTTATAAACAAGCTGGCCTTGGGAGCCTCTGCAGATTAACTTCAAGTAGTCTGAGCTGAAGCCCTGTGGTTTTGCATTTAATGGTAATAGCTGATTATATATGGCACAATTTTTCCGTCTGGCTTCCTACGCTGTCATAAACAGAGACTTGAAATAGTACTTTAAAGGTCCACAGACCTGGAAGTGCTGAACTGGAGGTATCTGTTTCTAGGGAGTTGACTTTTTGAAGCTGATGATCAGCCATGCAGCTGTTTTGTACATACTTACTTTCTCTTGCACTTTTCTGTATGCAAATGAAAGCTATAAATTTACTCATTTCAATAAACTGGAATGGCAAAATCTCTGGTGTTACCGCCAGTTTATTCTGATATTCAGCTTTTCTTTGAGTTGACCATTATGGGACAAAGCACACCAGTGTCAAGTAAGTAGATGAGGCGAGGTGTGGTGGCATATGCCTGTAAGCTCAGCTCTGGGGAGGCTGAGGCAGGAGGGTTATGAGTTTGAGACCAGCCTGGACTACAAAGTGAGATCGACGCCAGTCTGAACTGCATAGTGAGGCCCTGTCTCAAAAAGACAAGTATAATAATAATAATAATACTAATAATAATATAGGTAAATGTGAGTTACATTACATTCCAGATTGTCCAGCACGTTCACTGAAAAAAAACCAAAAGGGTAATAATAGCAGAACCCTTGGAATGACAAGGAGGTTCAGAATCCCAAAGAAAGGAAAGAGGTAATCCATGAAACAGAAGCGTAAGAAAGTTACCATCTAGTCTCCTGATGTATTCTCAGAGCCACAAAAGCTTTCGTTGCTGGCAGGGTAGCGGAGCTTGGTAGGCAAGACGTACGTCAGAGCAGCCCGAGCCGGTGCCCAGCGCAGACCCAGCCATGAGCACTGCTCCGGGCCGCTCTGCCTCCCCTGTGCCTCCTTCCTTGGTCTTTATGGAATCAAGTCGGATCCTGCTAGGACTACATGAGGGGATGAGTCTCGGCTGGTGCCGGCTGCTTAGTACAGCTGCAGTGTGAGGTAAGTAGCTCAGGGTGTGCTTTTATCATGAAACTAGAAACAGACCTGGAAGAAGAGCTCTTTCAGGAAGACCTGGAGGGGGTAGGGAGGGTAGCTCAGTAGATAATGTCCCTAGCATGTCCCCTGCAGAAAACAAACGGGTAACAATAGCAGAACCCTTGGTACCACGAGGAGGGAATCCAAAGCAGGTCGTGCCCAGCTAAGGAAATCACAACTTTCTCTAGGGTAAAATTCACCTATCTTTTCTTTTTTTAAAAAAATATTTATTTAGTTTGTGTGTGTGGCCAGCTCAGCCCACCAGAGGGCGGGACTGGCTGGCATGTGGTGCTGGGGGATTGAACCGCGGTCCCTGTGCTTTGCTTAGCTTAGCTTGTTCTAAGTAGGTGCTTTAGAACACTGAGCCATCTCACCAGCCCTCACCTATCTTTTCATGCACTTTGTGGGGTGCCTGGCATTGCTGCCTTCTTCTCCTTACCTGGGAGAGCTGACCTCCTGACAGCAGTCGGGTCCTAAAGCAGACTGCACACAAAAGCAGCTACCAGAGAAACTGGACGCAGGCTGCAGCTGAGGTGGAGAGACCGCGAGAAGGATGCGCTGCACAAATCCTCCGGCTTACCAAGGTGCTCTGCGGGGTGTCTGAGTGCCTGTGCCAGTGTGGCCCTTCCTTGTGGCTTAATCTTCAGTGCCTTGCCAAGCGTAAGGCACTGGGCTTATTGTACAGAACAGCATTCATCTTTCAACCCTGTGGAGCCGCTGCAGACCAGCAGAGGAAGGTGCGGCTCTGCACGTGTCAGTGGCGCTATCCGTCCGGACTGTGCTGGGAGTTCAGTCTAGCAAGGGAACTCCTTTCAGGTACGAAGAGGGTTTCATGTGTGTGCGCAGTAACACCCTAGCTGTACCAGCCAGGTTTCTCTCACACAGCGAAACAAGAGCAGGAGGTGCTGACTTTCCAGAGGTCGTCTTGTGTTTGTGAAGCTCTGGCTGGTTCCTTTTTACTCACACAGCCATAGCCGCATGCTAGCGTGGCACATGCGCTTCAGCACCACAGCGAGGGGCTCCAGCACCTAAGGGACTTTCTCAGGAGTATTGGATGGTGAAACTGCAGTAATAGGTTGTGTAAGTGGGTGATGTTAAACCCTCCACTGAAACGCTAACCGTGGTGTTCAGGGAGAGCCCGGTGGTGACTGTGTCCTTGCTGCTGAGAGCAAGGAGGGGCAAGAGTAGAGCGGGCAGCAAACTTGGAGCTCACTGGACTGCATCACCTGGTGAGTGAGGAGCACTGGCCCGCACGCTTGGCATGGTTTCAATGCAAAGTCAGTGAAAGATGGGAGCTGCCCGGCAGCTCCTGGTAAAGGTTTAAGCCGTTACTGTTTGAGGAGATTGCTAAATAGTAAAGCACCTAATTCCTGCTGGGAAATGATGTGCTTTGATTTAATTCCCCTCTAAAAATAACTAAAATGCAAGTCTAAGCTGATCTGCCAAACATGAATGGAAACAAACCTAGGTACCACAATGGAAACAAACCATTACCACAACCCTGGTAATGTCCTAAGTCCCGAAATGCCGAGGATGGAACACAGCCAGCCATTTGTCATCTCACCTAATGAGTGACCCAGCCCCTCACTTGCCCTTGCTTTTCTGGAAGGTATGCACTTAATTAGTAAGCCTTTGCTTGCACCGGGGGCACACAAATGCTCATCTCCCAGGAGACCACAGTGTGGGGTGCTCGGTCAGTGAAGAAGATGATTATATTAAACAAGCCTGAACTGAAAGAATTCAAGACTTTTTCTCAGGATGATAGTTGTGGAGTTTCATATCAGTTCTTTTAGTTGACTTGATCATGTCTTCAAGCTTCAATTATTATTTTATTGGAAGGAAGGAGAAAGGGAGGAAAGGAGAGAAGAGAGAGACACAAAGAGAAGAGAGACACGGACAAAAGGAGAGGTACAGTTCCGAAAGTCAGAAAGGAACCCAGCAGGCCCAGAGCTGAGACATGTTTGGAATGTGCCTCCTCAAACTGCCTACCTAATCATTGGCTAATTGGTCATCGTAGAGTCTGAGGTCAGCTGAGATGAGAGTATTGGTCATAAGAGCTAACAGAAGGGCCGGCCAGTTAGCTCAGTGGATTAAAGTGCCTGCTTAGGCAGGTGCAGAGACCGGGGTTCCATGCCAGACATGCTGCGCTGGCCTTGTCCCCGGGGCGCACTGAGACAGCGACTGAGACTGGGCTTGGTGGTGTGCGCCTATAATCCCATCACTTGGGAGACCACAAATGGGAGAATCACTATGAGTCTGATCTGTGTAGTGAGATCCTGTAGACCCTGTACTAAATACATTAAAAAAAAAAAAAAAAAAAAAAACAAAACTAACAGAGAAGGAAGAGAATGGTGAGGTTGACCTGACATTTGCCTCCTCTTCCTTTCCTGGCCAGAAAGATCATTTTAGGACCTTGATGGTAGGAAGCTGAAGGGGCTGCCTCCTTTTGATAAAAGGCCCAGGGAGTTCTCAGCACAGGTCTCCACTAAAAGAATGGATGGAATATGATAGTGAGAAGGCTCACAGTAGCTAAAAATGAGAGGTGTCTTAGATCTGCTCTACCGTGAATTGCACAGACTGCACGGCTTCAGAAATGACTATTTATTCCTCGCAATTCTGAAGGCTGAAGAATTGGAGACCAAGGTCCATGCACATTAGGTATCTTAAATATTTCTGTACTGCTCTTCAGTGGGCCTTCTGGGAAGAGATTAAGTGTAAGGAACCCAGCTCATAAAGACATTAACACCCCTGAGGGCTGTACTGCAGGGCTTCATAGAAACCTCATTGCCACACAAAGGCCCACTTACTGCTAATACCTTGTTAAGGTTGCAGTGTTTAATTTTGGGGGTGAGACAAGAGCGTGACCCATCACAGTAGGGATTTCTATTTTCACAAAAATGTTTAGGCTGGTAGCTGCTAGTGTCTGCTTAGTACCTCACCAAGGGCTAAGACATAGTCTCTTACATAGCCTTTCCCTCTGGCCACTGTGACTTCCTGTTCTCATGTTTATTGTCCATTGGCCACAAAAGGGCTATGAAACTCTAGAATGATGCATGTTCAAGGTGCATAGAAAGGAAAAGGGAAGTACAGCCCATGGCCACTTCTTGCCACAGCCCTTTGAGCTCTTCCCCGTGACCCCCAGTAGACTTCTGCTATGTCATTTTGGACACATGCCCACTCCTAGCTGCAAGGGAGGCTGTGGAGTGAAGCTTCTAGGCCTTCTCTACTTCTGTGGTGAAAATAAAGGCAGAAGCAGCATAAGCCACACAATCAGTGGAGATCAGGGCAAAATAAAAGTGCTGCATGCACCAGTAAAAGAAAAAAAAAAATGCCATTAAATGCTCGAAAATAGAAATCTTTTTAAAGATGTTTAATTTCTGCAATTTCTCTCAGTTTGTCATAATACATTTTGTTTTCTATTTAGTAGTGTGTATGTGTGTGTTTGTCTTTTTTTTTTTTAAAGACAGGATCTCACTATGTAATTCAGACTGGTTTCAACTCACTGTATAGCTCAGACTGACCTGGTTTGATCTCAGGGTGATCCTGCCACCTCAGCCTCCAGAGTGCTGGGATTACAGGCATGCACCATTATACCTGGCTTATTGGTGTTCTAGGTAAAGTAAAATCTTAAAAAGTATTAGTGTGAGTTTTTCAATTAATTTTTAATGTATATGTATAATTGCCAAAACTATGTAATTTGTATTGCATAAGCTATATGTGCAGGTTTTAGGACATGAGTTCCATTCTTATCAGAGCAGTAGAAACCACACAAAACTGACCCAACTGTGTCTTTTTTCTTCCCTCTTTCCTGCTTCTCCTTTTCTTTCTTCCTCTACCCTCATTTGGCCCTTCTACCCCCTCTTCCTTCTGTACTGGTGCCTGAACTCAAGGCCTTCACACTGTACAGCATTCTCAGTCCCTTTGCTTTTTGTTTTTAAATCTTGAGACAGGTTCTAAGTTGCCCAGAATGAACTTGAAATCCTCCTTCCTCAGCTGCCCCAAGTTCCAGGTGTGTACCACAAGGACAGGGTTTTATTACATTTTTTGATACCTATTACATTCTATTAGTACTGCCTACCTTTAACTCACTGATAAGGACTGGAAAAACAAAAAGGGATTGTGGTTCTCTCTGTCCTTTTTTTCCCTTCTATGCCATTATTTCCAGTCTGACTAGCTGGCTGAACAAGGAGGTAGCACTAGAAAGAAAGACGGCAGTGTTTCTAGACAGAGTGTTTCTTCCAGTGCTGGAAGCAAGCTCTGATTCCAGT